GGGTGGGGCTGGTGGGGGAACCCCCCATGGTCCCCTCTCCCCTCCTGCAGCCCCCCCCGACCCCTTAGTCATGGCACTGGAGCCGTGGTGCTGAAAACACGGCCAGACCAACCACAGAGACATGCCCGGCCCTGCTTTTCTAAACTTCAGGGGTTTTAGACCCCTGGATACCCAAGGGTCTAATTTTCTCCCTGTGCTGCAAACTTGCAGTGCGGGGAACATTGTTTCATTCCTGCATGTGCCTCTTGCCCTGTCTCAAAGGGGTTTGAGAAGGGGCAAGAGGCATGTGCACACTTGTCTGGATGTGCCCTATGGGAGCAGCTTAGGACAGGGATACTCTTGCCCTGCTCTGCTACCGTATAGCAATCAGAGGGAACTCTAGGTTCCCTAGGTGTCAGCCCTGGGTTGACAGGGGGCACCAGGGTAAAGCCTGGGCTCTGGGGGGCAGGGGGAACTGTCCCACCTCTGGGGCAGTGGCTTACCACTCTGCACCCCTGCCCCAGGCAGCTGCCCGCTGCCCAGCCCCTACTCTGATCTCAGAGTGGGGGCTGGGACATTGTTCCCTGCCCCAGGCAGCTGCCTGCTGCTGAGGCCGGCTGCAATCTCTGAGATCGGACCTGGGGCCCAGGAGCTGCCTGCTGCAGGGCTTGGTGAACATTGTCCTCACCCCCTCTCCAATTGGCTGATCAGAGCTGAGGCTGGAAAGGAGGCAGCTGTCTGGTGGAGGGGACAGTTTCTCCCCCTACCTTGCTGCCTGGGATGACTGGGAGCAATTTACAGCTATGTAACAGTGCACTACTGTGTGTTGGCTAATTTGCAGTAAATCTACTACCTGTATTTAGTAAATTAGTCTCATGCACAGTGAAGGGTCTCATATACGCACCCAGAGAGGATGTCAGATTATGGAGAGAGGAGGAGACTTCTCTTCTCCCTACCCATTGCATCTCTCAAAATGGACGCTCAAAGTGGAGGGAACACTTTCTCCAAGAATGCAAGAGTGATGTGCAGTGAGCAATACTGCTCTATGCCACCAAGAGGCAAAAGGGGAGCATTCTCTTGTTGTCCACCAGAAATGTGTTGTGTATTGTCTCCTAGACTACTGAGCCTCTTCACTGTCCCTTCTGTGATAGTATGCCCAAAAGGAAAAAGCTCTTGATAGTAATATTATTAATAATAAACAAATAATCATATAAAGTTAGGGTTGGAAGAGACCTCAGGAGGTCATGTAGTCCAGGGGTGGGCAAAATATGGCCCATGGGCTGTATCCAAACCATGGAGTGGCTTTATCTGGCTCATGGGGGGTCCCTTGGTCCCACCTGGCTGAGGTGGTACCCAGCCGTGGCATGTCCTGTCGCCCCCTGGGCATGCAGCGGGGCTGGGGTGGCTCCACAGCTGGGCTGTCTTTTTAGGCAGCCGAGGCAGCAGAGGCTCCTTCTGGCTGCCACTGCCTCAGCCCCGTGATAGCAGTGCGGACCAGCACGTGCGGCCCTGACTCAGTGCACCCCATGTCTGCTCTGGGCTTGCCCATCTTTGTTGAGCAGCAGCAGCACAGAACAGAAACTGCTGCTCAGCGTGGGGCAAACGTGGCCCCTCACCCTTGCCACAACTGGCGCTTCCAGGTGCAGCCACTCAGAGCCAACACAGGGCTGCCCTGCATCTCCACTGTGTCACCTCCACCTCTGGGCTGCCCATGGGGCAGCAGTGGCAGTGCAGAGCAGATGCAGGGCAACTCTGCGCAAGCTCTGGGTGGCTGCACCATGAAGCTCTGGCAGTGGGAAGGTGAGGGGCCACTTTTGCCCCTCACTGAGCAGCAGTTCTCTTCTGCACCACTGCTGCTCAGCCTGGCCCCCAGGGCCGGCTCCAGGCTCACCCCTCTGGGCTGAGCAGCAGCAGCTGTAGTGGCAGAGAACGGGCAGAAACTGTTGCTCAGCGCAGGGGAAATTGGCTCCTCCCCCTCCCACCGCCAGGCAGTTTTTGGTGCAGCCACCCAGAGAGAATGCTGTGCTGGTCTGCCCTGCAGCCCCGTCACTGCCGCCTCTGAGCTGCCCTATATGACAGTGGTGAGCATCTGCAAGGCATCCCAGGGGTGGTGGTGATGGAGCTGCACCACAGCCTGGCGTGGCGTGGCGTGTTCTCTGGGCAGCTGCACCAAAAACTGTCAGCAGCAGCAAGGGGGAGGGGCTGCTTTTCCCCCATGCTGAGCAGCAACAGTTTAAGTCTGGCTGATGCTGCTGCCACTGCTCAGCCCAGATGGGCAAGTCCAGATCTGGCATGGGGCATATGGCATCAGGGTTGCACACCCTGGCCCCCCCTGCTACCATGGAGTTGGGTCCAGCAGTGGCAGCAGCTGGAAGGAGTTGCCAAGCCTCACTGAATGCCCAGGGGTGGCAGGATGCACCAGGCTGGGTTGCACAGAGCAGGCATTGGCCATGCTGGGGCCACACACTGTTGGCAGTGGTGGTGGAGGTGTGGCAGGTTGTGAGGGCTCTGGGCTATTGTGGGGTGGGGGGCTGACCGGCTGAGGGGGGCGCATACGGGGAATCCCACACACACCCCACATAACCCCCCAAGACCTACAACCACACCCTCCTCCACACACAATCACACACCCCACAAACACAGCACCCACTCGTATGCGTCTGGGGACAGCCCCGCTCACTGGTAGAAACACATACACCCCCAGCCACCCTCCCCCTCCACAAACCCCATACCCACCCACACAGACAGCACATGTCCCCACAAACCCCATATCCACCAACCCATGTCCACACTTACAACAACACCCTCCCCCCCATACACACATCCTCATACACACAGCCACAGCCACATCCCCCCACAAACCCCATACCCCCACACTTCCACACCCCGCACGGTGTGGAAGTGTGCAAGGGTAAGACTTCATTTGGAGCTATTATGAAATCACTTCTATATATAAAGCACACATGTACACTAATGAGAACAAAAATATTTAAAGAAATAAAATTAAAATATATTATTATGGATGTTTGATTTTTAGTATATAATTTGGTGTTTTTTTTTCTGGTTGCAAGATGGCAAACCCCCTTCCCAAAAGGAATACTTCCAGGGACAAGGGGAGGGACTTCTAGTGGCAAAGATCAGAGGTTAGGGGCGGGATATCTGGTCCCAAGATGGCAACCAGGGGGTGGGGTGCTTGTCAAGGGGCGGGGCCACCCTTGCGGCCCTCGACAGCTCACCAAAACTTGTTAAGCAGTCCTATGGCCAAAATAGTTGTCTGCTCCTGATCTAGTCCCTGCTCCAAGCAGGACCACCCCCAACTAGATCATCCCAGGCAAGGCTTTGTCTAGCTGGGTTTTGAAAACCATTGTCATCATCATCATTGTTGTTGCTGTTTATTATTTGCAATAGCTCTTAGAAGTGCCAGCCAGGGATCAGAGCCCAAGTGTGCTGCTTTGGCATGCAATGCATATAATTAAAATACAGGCTGGAAGGCATGAGATAACAGTGAGCCGTAAACACAATTTGGAGATAATTACACAGAATCTCTCTCCCTACTTTAAGATTAAAGGGCCAAGCCAACCAGCTGTGCAAAACTTATCTGGTCGTCTTGGACTGCAGGAGTCC